ACAATTGTAGTAACTGTTAAATGAGAAACTATTTTGTTCTGTAAGCCTTCATCTTAAGTGAGAATAACAGCACAATTGGAAGAGCGTAGTCAGTGTCACTGAACTGTGTATGTAGAAATTTTTGAAACGGTGTATCTTTGGCTATGCGTATTTTCAACAACAAAAAAAGGTTGAGAAGTTAGAGGGTTAATATGTCGTGGGTTTGTTAACTAATGTCATAAAACAACATGTGTACTACTGTTTCATGAGAAACTATTGTAGGCCTTCACCTGAAGTACAAAATATTTAAAAAGAAAAAAAAAAAGCGGACAGAAGCCTGATTTGGGTGATAATATAGATTCTCATTTATTTCTGTAGCCTTGAACTTTTGCTCTTCAGTACCTATTTCCAATTGCCTGCAATACTTCTAACACTTGGAGATATACACTACACTGCAAATCTAGTTACTTCCACAGTAAACTCATCATTTCCTTCCTTAGCCCCATCTCATACTTCTGTCATCCTAGTTCCTATTTAAAAAGCCCTGGTGGAGTAATGGGTAAGCACTTGGCTGCTAACCAAAAGGTTGGTGGTTTGAACCCACCAGCGGCTCCACTAGAGAAAAGACCTGGCAATCTGCTCTCATAAAGATTACAGCCTAGGAAACCCTATGGACAGTTCTACGGTTACATGGGGTCACAATGAGTCGAACTCAACTGAACAGAACACAACAGTTCCTACTTACTGGTATGTTTTTTAAAAGCAGATAGGGTATGTACTTCACATGGTAGTCAAAAAATTCCTAAGCTTAAATGCCTGGAGTCTAAACAAACAAATAAATACACAATTTGAAAATGCACAGGTCAAATTCCTAATTATCACAGCTTTTTTTGGCAGGGGGGAGGGTTCCTTTTCAAATTTAATTAAGCATTGTACATAAATCCTATTACCCACTGCTTAAGGACTAATGAACCCAAAGTAGGATTAACTTGTTTTCATGTACATATTTTATTTCAACTCCCCACATTTGGACATACTTTTTTTTAAAAAAAAAATTGTTCTAAAAGTGTTAGTGCTTTCATATGGAGGGGGAAGAAAGTTTTGGTTTAGAGGAAACATATAAATTAACTTTCCAAACTGTGATACCGAACTATCACACATGCTCTAGCATCTCTCCTGTGGAGAACATCTAAGAATTTGTAAGAAGCACTCTGTATGTAGACACCAATTTCCAGTTAGGATATATGTAACGTGGCCTCATTTTAAGGAAAATAAATGTCTAAGTCTTAAATTGAAATTTCATGAGAGTTTGCATCTCTGAGGAACATCTGTGCTTTCTAATGTTGGGGAGCAGAAGGTGAGGACAATTACTTCTATCTTATAAAGACTACCGATTAGAGCACTTTTTCTATAAGTCATTCATTCAGCAAGTATGTATCTACTCTGAGCCAGGCACTGTGGATACACAGGTGAAGACTTTTACAAAGACTTTGCTCTCACTGAATTTACATTCTATTATAGTTAACTTCAGCTAAAAGACAATCTTACATTCAATCATAACAGAAAAGTAGGAGTACTATACAAAATAAAAAAAATAAAAGATACACATAGTAAACAATTTAGAGAATTTATTTGGAAAGTAGGAGATAAAAAGCCTGGTTCTAATATTCACTTAGAATATGAACAAAACTAGAAAAAATTAAACCAGAGTAAAGAAGGCAGAGTACTGACTGGCTTAATGGCCATACAATACAAACAAGCAAATAAAACCCAGGTTTCTCTCATGCAAATAAGCATTAAGGAAAAGAGTACAGGAATGTTTACAGAACAGGCCACAAGTATTTTAAAAATTTACATAAGGAACTGTACATAAATGAAAAAATAAATTAGACAATTTACAAGAAATGTTTAATAGTTTACATTAGGCTATAACTTAGTTTATTATGAATAAAATTTGTTGCACATCATACATTTTTACATCAGATTCAGTGTTAGAAGAATTCAGACATGACAAAGCTCAGGCTTGACAAAAACACAGTAATCAACAGAATAAGGCAACTTAAACTGGTTTGTAGAAGTAAAATTAACACCAAGATTAAAGGATTCTCTAGATTCAGACATATAAGACATTCTTATAAGTATGATTTGGTCAATAACTGGGCAGAGTTAAGACAACTGCCACTCAAATAAAAATTAAAAGCACACCATGTTAAAAAAAGAGAAAACCATTTTAACAAACGTCACTTACATCCTAACTTCACCAATTATATTTGGGAAAAGGAGATCAGGATTTTGTCTCTGAAGTTATCTTCTATTTCTAAAGGCTATAAACTAAAAAGCATCACTCCGAAAAAAGTGACAAATTTCAAAATGACTTAGTACCTACAACCACCGACGGTGCCAGGTACAACACTAAGGTGAAATCTGGAGATACTAAGTAAAGCTAAGATAATCTCAAGCTATTTGCATTATCTATGTACACTTTACAAATTAAGTAAAAACTGAAATGTTTTCTTTGAAAGCTATTGGTACAATAAGTACTGCAGAATATGAAAGATGTTGGGAAGTAGCAAAAACATTATTTGTAATATCCAAGATTGAATTTTAGTTGCATATTTATTCAATTCAAAACCTTCTATTTTTAACTTCATTCATTCCTTTGAAAAATACATTCATTAGTTCTTTTAAACACAAAATTAGTAGCATTTGCAGCAAAACAAAGACTAAAATAAAATCTACAAGAGAAAACAAAAACAAACAGCACTGTGACTCTTGACATTACTACATTTATTTTTATTAGTAGTTAAGTTAGGAATGTCAGACACATGTCCATTTCATTATTCAGACAATCCTAATGATAAAAGCACTGAGCCTTCAGCAGTTAAATGTGGAGATGACTGTAATCTATGATATTTCAACTCACTTGCAGGTAATTAAACTTGTTTTAAATTTTGCTATGAGTTGTGTTTGACAACAGCAACAAATAATTCTAGGATAGATTTATCCCACATTTATCCTTACAATGATCGGAAATAAGAAACAGCTTAAAGAAGAAGACAACAAAAAATACACAGATATATCTATTTTCAAACACCTATGAATTTACTCGTGGAATGTTTTCTTTTTGTACAATGAAAAACTTGTTATAATAATGCCCGTATGATTTTAGAGTTAAACAAAGTAAAAATTCCACACACTTTTACATATTAAGTTACTGAACTGAACACCAAGATGTGTGTGTATGCACACACACAAAACCTTCATATTAAGATTTACCTACTGGCAGCAACATCATTCCGAGAGAATAATTGGTCTCATTCTATTGGTTCGGTGAGAAACCAAAATCTGGTACCTATTAACATATACAAATAAAAACTATGTAGTAATTATAAGAATGTTCCATTAGCACTAAAATAAACTGTAAACTATGACCGCAAGTAGCTGAACGAACCGTTTCAGTTATCCAGAATACTGCCATGAATGAAACTCTTTTCTCAGGGCGATACTTGAGTCATTTCCCATTCAAACAAACATTTTACAGCTAGAAGAGACCTCAAGTTTCAGTTTAATTCCCTCATTTTACAAATGAAATAATATTTAGAGAAATCAGAAGTGACAGCAGCAATTCCTAATACAAATACAAATCATGACCTCACGTCTACTGTATAACCCAAGATAAAGATCATAAACAATATAGACTGCTAATTTTTAAGAAACCACTTTAACTTTCGGGAAGTGAAAACGACTCAATTTAGATGTGGCAGGAAAGTTACAATGATTCACTTTTCATGCCACCATTATTTCTAATGGCTTATTTATATACTTCAAAGGAAGAAGGAAAAAACTATTCAGTCCTCTTGGGTCTGTACTGATTATTACTTGGCTCAGTAGAAAATAAGAGTTATTGTCCCAAATATTGAAAACAGGTAGCAATACAGAAAAGCACATTATTTTCTGGGTTAATCTGATGATAGGGCTTTGAATGACAAAGCTAGAGGAAAAAAACTGAATTCCTTTTGTGATAAAATAAAATACACTAAAATAAACACTTTAATATGTGTACTTATTGGGAAATAGGACATTACTGACATTCACAGCAAAACATCTTAAATAAGGTCATCATTACAAAAAGGCAATGTATTTCCAGTTATTTTGTTTACAGATACCACAAAACAGTAAGTCAAATCAAAATACTATATACTCATTTTCCTGGTCATTATCCTTCATCAGTTCTTACATAGCTTTTAAAGGAGAAAGGATTTTTAAACTACATTCTCAAATTCAATAGAGTAAAAAGCATAAAGTGCTCAACAGAACAAAAAGATACAAAAATTTTTTGCATATAACAACATTGTTATAAAGGATATTTCGAACTATTGCCTGGCTAAGTCTTCTACCCAAGAACGCAACCTTAGAAATCAAGGCAAGATGCGACAGACTACTCTTTAATGGCAAGAGCACCACTGAACAAACAGGAGGCCTCTTCACTTTCAGTTACATCATTCTGCTTACAGGAATGGACTAAGTGTTTCAGGAACTGGTACTCACAAAACAGCCATCACATTTGCACTCCAGAAGTCTACGGACTTTTTGGCAAATAATTTGAACGTCTCGGAGAACTTTCAATTATTAAGTATATTATTGGCAGTGGCATTGACTTTTCCTAATTAGAAGTTTAAACCTATTTTCCACCTATTGAAATTAGAGTAGCTGAGTAAGGAACGCTCATATTGACGGGCAAGAAAGTCTATTAATACTCTGGCCTTTGGAGAATAGTCTAAAACTGTCTGGGTATAGAAATACAAGCCATTAATTTTATAAAGAAAAAAAGATTATCTTGTTTATACAGACCTCAACAGAAGAATTAAAAAATCTCTTTTTAAGCCCCTAAAGTCCAATTAGATACGGGGGGAGGGGGTAAATCTAAGTCACTGGAATCATCACATTTCCTTCAGTGAAGAAAATATAAATTTGAGATTCTTGGGAACTATCAGGATGTATCTTGGGCAATTTTATTTTACTGCTTAATCAGTATCAATGGAAAATGATATATAAGCTTTATTTAAATCAATGGCATTTTGTCTGAAATATCTAATTGCTACAATGGAGACATTAAACCAAGAAGTGTGAAGTCACTGTAGATTTTAAATTGGCTACTGACTAACAAGAATTCAAAGTTCCAAATATTCTAAACTCTAAAAAATTACCTTTACATAATTTCTCCTCTAAACATTCACTCCTATTATCTTTATGTTCATGTCTTTAGATAAACAAAACTAAATTTTAAGTATTTGAGCACAATTTTTGAAAAGTACATGGAGAATATCTCTATCAAGCACCTCAGTCTACTGAAAATTGCTCTCAATTGAGCATACTTGAGCAAAATTATGGCCTGTAAAAACATGACATACTTCTTTCTTCATGTAAACAATTTTTAAACTCTTCAAAGTACATCCAGATTTACTGGTAATTCATGGAGGTAAATTCTTGTCCAAGTCTTATTACTTCCTAAACCATGAGAAACAGACCCAAATAACCTCACTGAGCTATGGGACCTCTAAAATATTAACTGTCAAAGTAAAAATGTGAAAAATTTTATAACATTATAAAAAAAATGACTTCAAAATAGAGCATATTTTCCAAGGCAAGTGGACTTACAAATTTTGGAACGGTAATGCTTTTATTACCAGAATGTACGAAACACTGATCCTTTCTTATTTCTGCAATACTGCCTCTGACTCCCACAAAGTTTCATAACAACTCATCATTCAAATTTCCATACCATTCTTTTAGAACAAATATGTTTCTGTTGCTGGAGTTCATAATAGAATAGTCTTTAGCTTTGATAGTTCAAAAAGGAATGACTAAGTTTGGGCCTGAGGTAAATTTGGTATAGAAAGAGCACTTAACTCTGATACACTCAAGCCGTATTACAATAGTCCCAGGACCTATTAAACAGACTATCAAGCAAGTAATGAAGTCTCCAAATTCTTAATATTAAACATTTTTAAATAAATTGATTAGTTTTAACTAACAGAATACAGAAAGTACAGTATCACCAAATATTTGCATTTTCTAGAATTCATTTTAAAATTCAGACTAAAATTTAACATTTCAATTAAATCACAGCATGTGCGAAAGGTTATATACTTCTGGGAAAAGATCACGTAAACGTGCTTTCCGGGAGGAGAGATACTAGAAAAACCGTAATAATGAATAATTAACATTGCCTTCACATTTCTAAAAATCATATAAAAATGATCATTTTTGATTGATTTTCAATAATTTTTGATACTGGGTATATTACGGGCTGCTCACTAATAACCAAAATGCACATAAAACAGACGTATATAACAAATATTCAGAATCAATTATCTTCATAAGCAAAACATTTCTGAGATTTGAAGATTCTGTGTTTGAGCATACAGTACTGCAATGCTGGCTACATACAATAGAAAATCTTTTTGAAAGGAAGCTCAATAATCAGAGGCTGTATTGCATTTAAGGATTTAACGCTGGCTATATACAGAAGTGAAAACAACACTTCAGTTAGAAATACTTCACGTTTTCGAACTCTCTTTTATTATACTATGGCAACATTCGGCAGCTTATCACTTTGACATTTAAAAAGCAACAGGAATAATGCTACTCTTTATCCTTTGGTTCTCAGTGACAAATAAATGCCTCTGGTTTTCAGCTCCTTTTGGATGACATTTATTAGCAGAGAGAAATCTGATGCTTTAGCTGAAATTTGGTAGTCCAAGAAGTGCGCCAACTGCTCCAAAGTATCCCTGTATAGTTTTAAAACAAGTGTTATTATAGTGCAGCTTTTAAATTAGCATACAATATTAACTACTATTAAAAACACACACTTATATATTTATTTATTTGTTCAAGAATATTTATTGGTCATAGGGCAACATTTGTAGTAACTGTTAAATGAGAAACTATTTTGTTCTGTAAGCTTTCATCTTAAGTAAGAATAACAGCACAACTGGAAGAGCGTAGTCAATGTCACTGAACTGTGCATGCAGACATTTTTGAAATGGTGTATCTTTGGCTATGTGTATTTTCACCAAAAAAAAAAAGAAAAAGAGTTTGAGAAGTTAGAGGGTTGATATGTTGTGGGGTTGTTAACCAATGTCATAAAATAACGTGTACTACCGTTTCATGAGAAACTATTTGTTCTATAAGCCTTCACCTGAAGTACAATAAAAAAATAAAAAAATAATGCCTGAAAATACCTAGAGCCTCACCTGGCATATAGTATTACTCAATAAATTTTAGGTGTTATTATTGAAAAAAAAAAAAATTTATTGGGTAATTTCATGTATTAGCAATTCTACTTTCTTTTGGTAAAATTGTGTTCTTAATATATACACCTTTAAAATAAACATTTTAAGTGAGGCTTTTAGATACTAAAGCTACCAGGGCTATTACACCACTCTGCTTCCCCTTCTCCTTTACTCAGTAAATTAACTTCCTTTGGCTCTGCCTGACACACACGTAGCATGGCACGTGGAACTGCACAAGAGCACATCATTCTGATTCGTATAGTGAGAGCAGTGACAATGAGACAGAAAGCTTACAGGAGTAGAACACACACTTCGAACTTGTGTTATTAACTTTTGACAATGTCCATTTGACTTTGGCTATAAACAAAACAATTCAAGTTCAAAAGTATACTCAAGCACTATTTGAACTAATATTGCTCAGATCAGAATTTAACTGGATGTAGCAAATGAATAGAAAAAAAAAAAAATCTGGAGGAATACATTCCAAAATGCTAACAATGGTTACTTTTGAAGTGGGGGTAAGGTTGTAGTGGAAGGAATAATGAACACTTTCCTTGCTAAATTATGTATTTTTAAACTTTTCTGATCTCAGGGAATAAAGAAACAAAAGAAAAACAATTTAACAAAGCAGAACTATATCCACTAAGTGCCTACGCAGGCCCAGTATTCAAGGAACTCACAGACCTGATATTGTTCTCTGTTATATGTAAAAAACCATGAAATTCTCATCTCAGTGGGGTGCCTACCAGGTTACAGTAACACTCCCTCCCCCAACTCCGACTGAAGTGAGGGAGTCAATATACTATTTACGCAAATAACTTTTAGTTTTATATTTTACTTACAAATACAGGGTAAGAAGCAATTACCAAATTTTCATATAAAAAGTATGCTATTATTGAAATTTATAAAATACTAGTATCCCATCATACCTCATGCTCTAGAAACAGTGCTTTCAGTTGACCTTTTGACCAATAATCCAGTGCATATGCCAAAAGTTTCATTGAGAGTGTATTGACACGTAAAAAGTTTCCAACAAAGACAACTCTGTTTATTTTCTAAAAGAAAAGAACAAATAAAGTGACATGGAAAGAATTAAGAATTTACAATAGAGTTTGCAGAATCTTTACCTAAAAATGTTAACAACTACTACATTCCTATTTATATGCCTACTGTATTTCTGGCACATAGCTCAATAATACTGAATTTTTAAAAATTAGCCCTAGATAAATGATTATAGGTTGAGACTTGTTCTTTAAAATGGCCGATAAATAATTCATTTAACAATGTAATTTGGAGACACATTATTGACAAGATTAAAGGAGTCAAATCAAAGAAAAGTAAAGTGCATTTATGATAAAATAGGCTGTAAACTTGGCCAGTACATTGCAATGACATGTTCAACGGTGACACACAGCTATGGAATCTATACAGAACTGGGAATTAGCACTGACTCACAGTCTGCATGTGCATCATACCCCAGGCTTACAGGCATTCCGTGTCAGCATGGCCAATCAAGCCACTCTCTGCTAAGATTCCACACTAATTTGGTTTCCTAGGTGCCCCTATGATTAGGAAATCCTTAGATGAGGGACTAGTGTTTCAGTCTCTAGAAAACCTATTCCTACCCTCACAATAATATACCAATTTTTAAGTACAAATTTTTGTACATGAGTTTAGATAGTGTAAACCAAGGACCTAGGTAACTACCAACTGGCCGGTGAAAATCTAGACCTAGAGAGCTAAGAACAAAGGTCCAGAATTATTGCTAACCCCAAAATCTATGTCAAAATTCCTGCTAAGTGGTCTGTCAACCAATTTACTACACTGTCATTGAGAAAATTAACGATAAAATTCTAGATTTAAATATAAAATAATTCAGAGGATTAATTAGGGCCTTTGCAGTTTTTCTCTTTTCCCAAATACCTTTGTATGCATGATTCCCTCACCTCACTCAAGGGTCAGATTCTCAATGAGCCCATCCTTAACCACCCTATTTACCTGGCAATTTGTCCTCTGCCATTCCCTGCCCTACTCTCGATTTTCTTTATCCTGTTTGATCTTCTCTTTTTTAAAAATAGCATTTATCATCTAATGATGTAATAATTTACTTATAACGTCACTAATAAATGAATGTAAGCTCCACAAAGTCAGTGATCTTTGTTTTCTTCACTTGTATATTCCAATAGCCTGGAACAATGCCTGGTGCATCCAAACCAAAAACCAAACCCAACTCATAGTGACCATACAGGACAGAGTAGAACTGCCATACGGTTTTCAAGGCCATTATCTTTATGGAAGCAGGTGGTCACTTCACTTCTCCTGCCGAGCGGCTGATAGATTAGAACCGCTGGATTTTCAGTTAGCAGTTGCGTGCTTAATCACTGTGCCACAGGGCTCCCAGTACTCTATAAATACTTATTCAATGAATTAGTGGACTTCTTCAAAAAGTAAATTTCTCAATTCATTTTAAGTAACTAATATTTACAAAAATTATACTTACAATGGGCCAATACATTTATTTTATATGAAGGTAGAATTGTATATATATTCTCTTCAAAATGAAAAATAACCCAATATAGTACGTCTTGCAGTATAAGCTGTTTACAGTTTTCTTAAAGAAAACATCATTCAGATTTCTTGTGAAGAACAAGTCTCAATGCCTTCATAGCCCTGTACAATGCTGCTTGATCCATATGCAACAAGGCAGCACTGTAAAGAAGCCGAGGGCAGTAAGAAAAATTCCAAGTATTTCACTAACCGAATGCAACATTAAAGGCAAAAAAAAAGTTTTACATAATTAGTTACCTCAAAATATCTTACACTTAGAAAAAAATAATTTTATATCCTCAAGAGACTTAAGGCTGAGTATTTCTGAATAAATGTAAAATGTATATATCTGTATGTCCTATTTCCAAACTGAATTACACTGCCACCTTAAAGAAAATAACAAGGTAAATAACATACATACTTATTAGTCATGGGATTTAACGGAATGGGAGAGCTCAATCCTAGAAGCGTCCTTAAGGAACATGAAGTTTGACAGGATGTATATAAAATAAACATATATCATATAATTAAACAAATTTTTTTTACCTCATTAACTGCACACATCCGTGCCACAGAACCAATGTTATTGGTGATAGTAACTAAAGTAGCTCTTGCCAGATCTTCTTTACTAACAGACTCTCGCTTGTCCTTATAAATCATATTCCCAAAACTGCAGAGAAATGGAAAGCAAAAAACGAAAGTCAAATCTGCTGTTAACAAGCAACATTTCATACATTAGCCGATGTATTTATAATCCTGGATATCTTTCTAAAATTAGGGCCGAAAGAGTAAAAACAAAGAAGGGTAAAATCAAAACAAAAATCTACACAAGGAACAAGTAAACCAAAAAACCCAAACCCATTGCCACTGAGTTGATTCTGATGCATAGCGACCCTATGACAGAGTAGAACTGCCCCATACGGTTTCCAAGGAGCGGCTGGTGGATTCAAAATGTCGACCAGCTGTAGCTCATAACTACTGCGCTACCAGGGCTCTGTTAAAAAGAGGTATTTATAGCTATGGAATAATTTCAAGGATACACTGGTTGATAAGTGTATACAGTATGCTATATAATGGTATATAAAAATATGCTAACTTTTGTTTAAGAGAGGAATAATAAGAATATGCATTTGTAGCTGCACGGAGATTAAACGATGAAAGGATATTCAACAATGAATAAAAATGGTGCACTTCTAAGGTGCACTCAGGACAAAACCAAAACCAAATCCATTGCTAAGTTGATTCTAACTCACAGTGACTGTAAAACAGAGTAGAACTACCCCATAGGGTTTCCAAGGCAGAAATATTTATGCAAGCAGACTGTCACATCTTTCTCCTGAGGAGCAGCTGGTAGGTTCAAACTGCCAACCTTTCGGTTAGCAGTTGAGTGCTTAAGCACTGTGCCACTACGGCTCCTTGCACTCAGGGTAGACTTTTTAAATGTATAGTATACTTGATTTTTAAACTATATGAATGTTCAAAACTACCTGTAACCTAAACTAAGGGTAAGAAAGTCCTTTTACAATTGCCTGACATGTTGCTCTCCAAGAATAAATAATAAATTACAACATAAACGTTAAACTTACCTAGATGCCACAGCCCAACCTGGCAGACCAAATCTTTCATAATCTCCTCCATAAATATCACGGACCAGCTTGTCTGCTTGGGTGCTGTCACCTTTGGACGCCATTTCAAGAGCCTCTTCAAAACTTTCACAGCCAGTCAATAAGCTACATAAACCTAGAAAGGTACCTCCTCCAAGGCTAAAGAAAGTAAAGAAACCTATAAGTTGCATCTACATACTGTACTCATTCTCCAAAGAGTGGAACATTTAATTATTCAAAAAACAAACAGAATGAACACATTACTAAGAGCTGAAATGTTAACATAATGACGTAAGAAAAATGCTTAAGTAAAAACAAACTTGTCAGATCTAAGGATTACCCAAAGAAACCACTTAGTGGAAGCACGAGGACAGGAAGGTATCTTTTATACCTTCCAAAGCCTTCACCCAGGAAGTTAGGCTTTATCAAACCAAACCCATTGCCAACTCATAGTGGCCCTATAGGACAGAGCAGAACCGCTCCATAAGTTTTCCAAAGAGCAGCTGGTGGATCTGCACTGCTGATCCTTCGGTTCTTAACCACTACACCAGGAGAGCTCCTTCCTCACTGTATTTATTTGTAGATCATGTTAAATATATCACTGAAATGATTTCATCAGCTCTGTCAAATGATTTTGTGAAAGATTCAGTTACTTGGCCAGTGAGGTAATTTGTCAGGTTGGTCACATTAATGATAGAAATTTACTTGATTCTACTATTCTTTTGAATGTACTCCCAAAGCGAAATCACGTCTCTCTAATCCCTAAAAGCAAAAATCTTTGCTCTCTAGTCTCATTTTAATTTCTGACAGGTTCTATCCATGAACTTGTTTGAATTTAGTTGACAGACTTAATGTCTGTCTTTTAAAATTAGCTGAAGTAGGTAGTACCTGCTTGTCTAATTCTTTGGCATAGAAAATTACAATGGAGGTAACATTTTTAACCTCCACAGAAATAAAGAATTAAATCTAAGTATAATTTAAACAAGAGTTCTACTTTAAAATGAGTTTTTTTCAAAAGTCGATCTAATTTAAAGTATCCCAGAATCTTTATTCCTCAGTTAAATAAACAGGAGTCCCTACCTCCTCTTAAAAGTCAATAAGGTACCTAAGAGAATCATAGAAAAATTTTTAATCTCATTTCACATTCATATTTCAGGTTATTACAGAAAATTTTATGTGGTACTTGGAAGATTAATGCTGTCCGATAAAGAACTCCCATTAAACTCATCATTTAAGAATTACAGTGCTGCCCAAAAATGTGAATTAAATGTGAATCTATTCAGCATGTGATAAGCATTATGCTTAAATACATGTATAAAAAAGTGAACAACGGGGAGAGATGGAGAATGCTTTATTTAAAAATAAATAAAATATATATATAAAAGCAGGTACTATACAGTTTTGCCACCACTCATCTGCCAGTTTGTTGTACTGTGGTGGCTTGCGTGTTACTGTGATTCTAGAAGATATGTCACCAGTATTTCAAATACCAGCAGTGTCATCCATGGTGGACAGGTTTCAGCGGAGCTTCCAGACTAAGACAGACGAGGAAGAAAGGTCTGTATCTACTTTCAAATATTAGCCAATGAAAGTCTTATGGATCACAAAAGAACACTGTCCGACTCGCCTGCTTTGGACATGTCATCAGGAGGGATCAACTGCTGGAGAAGGACATGCTTAATAAACTAGAGAACTAGTGAAGGTGAGGGAGACCCTCGGTGAGATGGACTGGCACAACAGTAGCAATGATGGACTTGAACATTTCAGTGGTTGTGAAGATGAGGCAGTACCAGGCAAAGTTTTTTTCTGTTGTACATAGGTCGTCATGAGTCGGGACTAACTCCATGACAGGCAGCCATCTGTCTGTCTGTACAGTTTTGGAATCAAAAGAACACTGTCTCTTTGGTTAAACACTGGAAGTTATTGGAATAATTCCAGATTAAAATTCACTCTTATGGAAATTTTTTTGTTTACTGTAGTTTAAACGAAGTTTACATCTCAAGTCAGTCTCCCACACAAAAATTTATACATAGTTATGTGACCCTAACTTCTCTCCCCATACTGTGACAGCGCACTCCTCCTTTCCACCCGATACCCCATGTCCATTCAACCAGCTCCTAACCCTTTCTGCCTTCCCATCTCCCTCTGGACAGAAGCTGCCCGTTCAGTCTCTTGTATCTACTTAAGCTAAGAGGCACACTCCTCATGAGTTATCACTTTATGTCCCACAGTCCAGTCCAATCCTTGTCTGAAGAGTTGGCCTTGGAAATTGTTTTAGTTCTGGGCTGATAGAGAATCCAGGGGCCATGCTTTCCAGCGTTCCTCTGGTCTCATTCAGACCATTAAGTCTGGTCTTCTTACTAGAATTTGAGTTCTGCACCCCACCTTTCTCCTGCTCTATCCAAGACTCTGTTGTGTTCCCTCTCAGGGTGGTCACTGGTGGTAGCCGGGCACCATCTAGTTCTTCTGGTCTCAGGCTCAGTCTCTGGTTGATGTGGCCCCTTCTGTCTCTTGGGTGCTAATACTTTCCTTGTGTCTTTGGTGTTCTTCATTCTCCTTTACTCCAGGTGGTAGGAACCAACTGATGCATCTTAGATGGTTGCTTGCAAGCTTTTAAGACCCCAGACACCACTCACCAAAGTAGGATGCAGAACATTTTCTTAATAAACTTTGTTATGCCAATTGACCTAGATGTCCCTGAAAGCATGGTCCCCAGACCCCTACCCCTGCTACTCTGTCCCTCAAAGTGTTTGACTGTATTCAGGAAACTTCTTAGCTTTGGTTTAGTCCAGTTGTGCTGACTTCCCCTGTAGTGTGTGCTGTCCTTCCCTTCACCTAATTCTTATCTACTATCTAGTTAGTAAATAACCCTCACCCTCCCTCCTACCCTTGTAACCATCAAAGAATGTTTTCTTCTGTGTTTAAAACTTTTCTTGAGTTTTTATAATAGTGGTCTTATACAATATTTGTCCTTCTGTGACTAAATTCACTCAGCATAATGCCCTCCAGATTCCTCCATGTTATAAGATGTTTCACGGCTTCACTGTTGTTCTTTATTGTTGCGCAGTATTCCACTGTGTGGATATACCATAATTTCTTCATCCATTGGTTTATTATGGAAATTTTGTTACCAACTGATAATGACTAATAATATGTAACGTTTACACACATACCTTATAAAATGACATTACCTGCAACATTTTAACTTACATGTCTACAATTTTTCTGTTGCACAAACACATGTTACTTTCCTGGTGAGGCTGGCATTATGCTGATTTCATAACTTCTGTGTATAAAACAATTTGAATGCTGCAATAACACCAAAAAGGTTACTACCTTGTTCCAGTCACTCGTTTATAGTTGTCTTTGGAATGGACTGCTAAAATACTGACTCCTGAACCAATGTTCACTACCAGTAGTGGATAGGGATCATCCAGGTTAAAAGGCATCTTTTGGCATCTCTCAGGTTCTGAGGCATTAGCAAAATAATAGCACTCTGCTTGTCCATTGAAACTGACAGAATCTATATACAGCAAGCCCTTTACAAGGCAGTCAAGTTCATCCAGTTTGTGCAGGTGGAGGTTTCCAATCTGTAAAAAAAAAAAAAGAAAAATAATTAAAAAATTTTAAATCATGTTTTATTGTGTAAAATATATGTAACAAAATATTTGCCATTTAAACCATTTTAAGTGTACAGTTCAGCTGCAATAATTACATTCACAATGCTGTACAAGCATCACCACTATTTCCAAAATCTTTTCATCACCTCAAACAGAAACTCTATACTCATTAAGCAATAACTCCTCCATTTACCCCTTCCTCCAGCCCCTGATAACCTCTAAGCTACTCTGTCTCTGTGACCTATTCTAGGTATTTCAGGTAAGTGGAATCATAGTATTTGTCCTTCTGTTTATTTCACTTAGTATAATATTTTCAAGGCTCATAACTTCATTGTTTTTTATGGCAGAATAATATTCCATTGTAGATATATACATTTTGTTTATACACTCATTTGGTGATGGATACTTGGGTTGTTTCCACCTTTGGTTATCGTGAACAATGCTGTAATAAAACACTGGCATGCAAGTATCTCAGTCCCTGTTTTCAATTCTTTTCGGTATATAACTAAAAGTGGAATTGGTGGGCAAAAAAAAAAAAAAATAAAGCAAAAAAGGAAAGCATTCGAAGTACTTGACTCAACTATACTAAATAATCTTCATGTAATTTATAAAACTTCAAAATCATCTATAACCCCACATTTTGACTTATTTTGTGTCAGAATCTCTTAGGGGCTTTATCTAGTCCTGTGGCTTTCAGTAAGCATGGTATCATCTTTGCGCACACTTTGCAATGTATGAGGGCATCTTAGTTTTCACAATGATGGAGAGGCAGGAAGGACCAAACTGACATTTAGTGGGCAGGGGCTAGGAATGCCAGACACAGGGCAATGAGTGGGGCAGTTCTGTAAAACAAAGAATTGTCCTATGCCGACAAGATCTTTAAGTGTTCTGCCAAACATTTATGAGATAGCAGTAGGACAATTTTATCAAAATTATCTGAACTGACATAAACAAAGTATTTCATCTGTCTACATCTATCTAAATACAAAATAGTCATTAAATGATTTTATGTATAGCTGCAAGCATCTAACTACTTCATGTCTTCTGGCGTGGTCATACCACAGAATCTACCTACTGATACATATCAATACCTTAATTTTCTGTCTTTATATTTTGGTTTAATAGTTGGAAATTATTAAATTCATTTCAGGTTAGTGAAGAGTATATTATTAAATATCTGTTACAAAAGATCTTAGCTGAAACATCACTTCCTCTGGGAAACTTCAATTCTCTAAGACTTGTTAGGTACCACTGCTCTGTTTCCATGGCACATCTTTTCATAGCAATACCATTAATTATAATGCATTGTACTTTTACTTGTTATTTACCTATCAGTTTGCTCTAGAATACTGTAAATTCTTTGAGGACTAAATTTGTGTCTCATTCTGAGCCATGTTCTTCCAGTGTCTAGTAAAGTACCTGACACATAGTGCATATGTGAGTATTTGCTTAACAAATGACTCAGTATCAACAAAAACAAGGATTATAAGGAACTCCATCATAAAAAATATTTATAAACATTAAAAAAATTTAGAACTCTATTTGGATTCCAGTATCTTCAATGGCCAGGTCTGGCTTCAGGAACATTGCTTATGGCAAGAATTGTGGCAAACACTATTACATGTCCAAACAAAACTGTTCTCAAATTCATAAAATTTATGTTCAAATTACTGAACAAAGTGAACTCAAAGCAGATTTATCCATGCAGAGAAAAAAAACTTAAAAATTTATTATTTAACTACGCCAGTTGATATTTAAATTACAAGGAGGCTCACTTACGTGAGAATATAAGAAATCACTTATGCTTTATTAACAGAATTTTCTTCTAAGAATTTGAGAAATTAAATAGTCCATACACATATTTGAGGAAAAGAAATCTCAGTAGCCGTAAGTATCCATGTTCTAATCTTTATTCTAGTGGATATGACTAGAACCTTGGCAAACCCCTTACAGCATGCAACTTAAATCAATATTCACATAGCCCTCCTGCTATAACCAAACCACCCACTTTGAGCTAGAAAATGGTAAGGCTAATGGTGTAGAATCAGGGATAAAGGGATAACAGATATTTTCATTCAGTATCTACTGACCAAGACAGTGGCTTCAGTTGGAGTTTGGGAAGGAGATGGCCCTGGGAGAGATGACTATTTGGTTAATACTCAAAAACATGCAAACATAACAAGAATAACAGTGAAAATAATTCATGCTCCATTGCACATGACAAGAATAACAGTGAAAATAATTCAAGCTCCATTATACGTGACTTTGTACACCAAATTCATTGAAGCCACCTTTTTATTGTAGCTTTGTACCACAGTCCTAGACTTAGCAGGTTTTACCAAATATTATATCATGATTTAATTCATGATCTTAATCTGGGCAATTGTGATCATCCTATAAATGTGTTTAAATGTTCAAAATCAAAAGCAAGTCATGAATTCTACTACCACGGTATCACTGGTGGGAACCGATCTAAGGAACCTGATAGATGGTAACCTAGTCTCATATTTAAAAATGTGAACAAAATGGGTATCAATTTTCAGTTTTAACCAAGTAATGGATACCTACTGTGCGAAAATCTTTTTCAAACTTGTAAGCACCACCTCCTGTAGCACATAGCACCGTGTGTATGGTTGAGAAGTTTTTATCTCTTCCCATTTGGATAAAAGTAGGCAGGTCCTGGGTTGGAAATCTGATAAAGTGCAAGTTCCCTCTTCGGCCAAAAAGTGTTAAATCCTTTAGTTCCAGGTGTACATCTCGAATGCCAGTGGATCCATACGCTACATTAGAAGTCAAATACTTTCGGATACTTTTTAAGCTCTCAACTTCTTCTTGTTCTTCCTCTGCTGTGATGTCAATAGGTTCAAAATATGAGAGCTTTACTAGAGTTCCCCCAATATCCATGCCAAACCATGGGAAAGCTGTGGGTATAAAAAAAGTATACATTAATTTTGGAAATGCAAACTAGGAACTAGTTTAATTAGCCACACACTTCACTCACCCTGAATCATTCATTCAGTAAAACTTATGGAGTATCTTCTACTTACCACTCACCTTTTTTCCTTCAAAGTGTTATCTGGATTTTTTCTACAAACCTGTTACACAGGATGCTTAGAACTGGCAAAGGGTCTTTTTAATTCCTGATCTGGTAGGCATTTCTTTTCATTTATTAAATACTTATGTAGCCCAGGGAAGAGAAATTGGAACAATTTTGCTTCAATATACAGGTCATCACCTACTGCTTAAAAATCTTTTTTTTATCAAGATTTTAATAAAATTGGCTTATAATCACTTTAAGTAACCCAAGGGAAAAGTATCTCCTTAAAAAGAAATTTTCTTTGCCCATTAAGCGTATTAGGTTTCTTTGGTATATCTGGTTAGTATAATTAGGCATCAATAATCTTGAAGGTAACTCTACTCAAGGACAAGCACATTCTAGCTGGCAGTAAGGTGTGGCGGAATGATCGGGTTTGGCATTTGTTGCTCTCATTAACTAGACTATATGACTAGAAAAACCATCAACATTTCTGAATCCTCAATTCCCTTCAGTAAATAATTGACTTGTCAGCTACTCCGGAGCCCTGGTGGTGCAGTGGTTAAGAGCTCAGGCTACTAACCAAAAGGTCAGCAGTTCGAATCCACCAGCTGCTCCCTGGAAACTCTACAGGGCAGTTCTGTGCTATCCTATAGGGTCACTATGAGTGAGAATTGACTCCACAGCAATGGGTTTGGGTATTCTGGTTCTACTCTGGTGGTAAAGTGGTTAAGAACCTGGCTGCTAACCAAAAGGTATGCCTTTTGAATCCACCAGTTGCTCCTTGGGAACCCTATGGGGCAGCTCTACCCTATCCTATAGGGTCACCATGAGTTGGAATCAACTTGAAGGCAAGGCAACAACTACCCCAGGGAATGGAACTCTAAAGTGAGTAAGATAAAATTCCTGCCCTCCAGGAGACCTCAGTCTTGTTGTGGGTGGATTTGGACTCATGTATGCAGACTGGAATTACTCTACAGGGTTTTCAAGGGCATGGCCTTTTCGCCAGGCCTATCTTCTGAGGCACGTCTAGGTGGTTTCAAACTGCCAACCTTTTGGTTGGCGTTTAACTGTGCCACCCAGGGACTTGTAGGGGAATATAAATACAAATACATAAAAAAATGTGATAGGTGAAATAATAAGTATATGCAAAGTATAGACCTGTAAAGAAATGCTAAACTCTGTACCTATGTTGACGGTAGGGAAATCTAAGCAAAAAGCAGCCTATCCAAAGGCAAAGAGTCATAAGTCGGCGTGGTTAGGAAAAGAAGTGAGGCTTAAGTAGGTATGAGCTGAATTACACAGGGCCTTGCATACTAGGCTAAGAAGCTTAGACTTGAACCTGCAGACAACAGGGCACTAATGATATTCTGAGGAGCACTGGCAGTCTTAGCTACAAATTAGAAAGCTGACTTAGTGGCACTGTACAGGATGGACTACAAGAAATGCTTATATTTGCCTGTAAAGTTAAGGATAAAGTATATTAAATCAAAATCACCTAGGAAGAATTTTAAAAATAGATTCCTGAGTACTCAGCTGCTAACCAAAAGGTCAGCAGTTCAAACCCATCAGCTGCTCCCAGCTGCATCATGGGAGAAAGATGTGGCAGTCTGCTTCTGTAAAAATTTACAGCATTGGAAACCCTATGGGGCAGTTCTACTCTGTCCTATAGGGTCATTATGAGTCGGAATCGACTCAGAGGCAGTGGGTCTGTGAGCTCTCACCTCAGAGGAAGTGGACAATAACCATTAAGAGAGGTGGGGAATCTATTCGAAAAAAAAAAAAAAATCCAGGTGATTCTTCTATGGCTAGATCTAGATGGCATTTGAGAATCACTGGATTAGGTCACCTCTAAGATTCCTTCATGCTATGACAATAACTTCTACAATGTTTTTGCTTATTGTTTATCGGTCTTAATCTTCCTATGGATACAAGGTAGTATTTTACCATTGTTCCCAAGGCTGAGGGGAAAAAAAATCAATATTGTATTATGAATCGCAAATATTCTTAGTGTGAAGCACAGCTGATTCAGTTTTCCACAGAATTCCAGCTTATGTGTACTGAGTGCTCACTGTCAGATAATACGATAAGCAATGGGTATTCAATGGCTCATTTAATCCCCAATGTCCCTATGAGGCAGTACTGTCTTACTATATGCACCATTTTATAGACAAGGAAAGGAGACAAAAAGATTACTAACTTGCTTAAGATCAAAATGTCAGTAAGTGACAGAGCCAGGACTCTTATCCTAGAAAGTCTACTCCCATCACCTTGGCTCTTAATCATTATGACAGTGACTCAAAAATAATTTAATACATGAGACATCTGTATTTTTTGCTTTATCTAGCAAACAAATTACAAAATGCCTGGTAACAAAATGTAATCATTTTTATGTAAAAGTTGTCAAGGAAAATTGATTCTACTTTGTTTCTTAAAAAATTCATATTTTACTTATTTAAGTACTTGTCTACCAGGAGAAGATGGGAAAACATGATTCAATGAGAAAGGATGTCATACATTTCTCCATTTTAGAATTTACACATTTACTAAAATTAGCAAATGATTCTGAATATAGGAAAAGAGTAATTCTCATTATCTTCTTCTGGAGAAATAGCTCATTTGTTTTTATATTTGAAACCAAAACTGCAGATCCAGATCTACATTAAAGACAACCTTAATAAAAAACAAAAACAAGCCCTTTTTTTAAAAAAGTAAAATGATTTAAAGGAGCTCTGGTGGTACAAATGGTGGCTACTAATTGAAAAGTCAGTGGTTTGAACCTACCAGTGGTTCTGTGGGAGAAAAGACCTGGAGATCTGCTCCTGTCAAGATTTCAGCATAGGAAACCCTATGGAGCAGTTCTACTCTGTCACATAGGGTTGCTATGAGTTGGAACTGACTCAAGGGCCAACAACATCATCAGAGGCAGCAAGAACCCAAACACACTATGCTTTTATGTCACCTATAGACTGGTATAAGGAGCCCTGGTGACACAGTGGTTAAGCGCTGGGCTGCTTACCAAAAGGCTGGTGGTTTGAACCCACTAGCCGCTCCGTGGGAGAAAGATGTGGCCGTCTGCTTCTGTAAAAGATCACAGCCTTGGAAACCCTATGTAACAGCTCTACTCTGTCAAGAGTGTGTTACTTATTTAAGATGGCCTCCATTGCTAGCCACCCAACAAGATTAAGAAAATTTAGTTTCTTCTGCATCCTAGTTGTTATTCTTAGGTTAAAAAAATGTGGTACCACTAAGTTTTGCGGTTTAGTACACGAAACCTAGAATTTCTGTTTTAAAAAACTCACGTAAAAGTTAATACCTGGTTAAGAGATTTTTCTATCCCAAAATATACTTCATGTGGCTGTAATGATTTCCACCACCCTTCCCCTACATGATATCTTACAGACCCTCCCTTGTTCACATAAATCAGCAGTAGCAGGCAGCAATACTAACAATTATAGATGGGAATTCACACCTAGAATGTTTGCTTAGTCAAATATTATAAAGACTAGGAACAGCTTTATTGATCCAATAAATCAAAAAGATTCCTTCAGAATTTTCCCAATCAGTTCAACAGATACGTAGTTAGAACACTTTTCAATGGGCACTAGAAGAAACAAAGACATCCTTACGATACAACATAACCAAAATCCAATCTCCAATTTGATGGCTGCTTGAGTTTATAGGAAAACCCTGGTGGCGCAGTGGCTAAGAGCTTGGCTGCTAACCAAAAGGCTGGCAGTTCGAATCCAACAGCCACTCCTTGGAAACCATATGGGGCAGTTCTACTCCATCCTTACAGGGTCACTGAGTTGGAATCGACATGAGGGCAATGGGTTTTTGGTTTGAGTCTATAAGATATCATGTAGGGGAAGGGTGGTGGAAATCATTACAGCCACATGAAGCATGTTTTGGGATAGAAAAATCTCTTAACCAGGTATTAAATTTTAGATTTTTTTTAGCTAAAAACCTTTATTTCCCAAAATTCAAAACACATTGAAGACTCAATTAATGTTTGTAGTTTTTCTTTCTGTGCTTCAGGTCAAACAGATGTCAACATATATATGCAAATAAAAATGTCACTCAGAGAGCAAACTGCAAAGCTAAAGCAATTACCAGGTTCAAAGTTCTTGCCATTTCTATTTTCAGTCAGAACCCTCTGCTCCAAAGACTATAAATACCTGAATACTGCCATTCTTGAAAACAAAAACCCCAATTAACACTTACATGAAGAATGTTACATTTTTACACAAAACCAAGTTTGATGCTCTTCAAAAGACTTCACCAAAAGAGTAAAAAGAGAACCTACAGACTGGGAAAAAACATTTGGACAGTACAAGTCAGACAAAGGTCTAACCTCCATGATCTACAAGAAAATCCAACACCTCTATGACAAAAAGACAAATAATCCTATTAAAAAATGGGCAAAGGAAATGAACAGACACTTCACCAAAGACATTCAAATGGCCAACAGACACATGAGGAAATGCTCCGGATCACTAGCCATTAGGCCATTAGAGAAATGCAAATTAAAACCACAATGAGATACCATCTCACCCCGGCATTACTGGCACGAATCAAAAACACTGGAAATAACAAATGTTGGAGGGACTGCGGGGAGATGGGAACTCTTATGCACTGCTGGTGGGAATGCAAAATGATACAACCATTTTGGAAAATGATATGGCGCTTCCTCAGAAAGTTAGAAATAGACATACCATTCGAAATACAATACCATTCGAAGTACAAAAACAACAAAACCAAGTTTGAAAGGAACCTTACTGCCTAGGAAAGTATTTCCTTTATAAAGATAAAATACTGGAGGAGATGGAATATCCACTTTTTCTAACGCTACACACGAGCACTAAGGTTTCTGACCTCAGAGGTGTA